GGCAGGGGTAGGCCACGGGAAATATGGAGGAGATGTGTGGAAAAAGTCGTGAGAGTGGGTGGTTGGCGGGTGCTCTGGTGTGGTTTGCTCCTTCTTTCCTTTCAAACATCTATTTTCCTTATCTCTCCTCCTTCTTTTTTGTGTATGCTACTCTTTTGTAACGCATCTAATCTTCAGCACTTTTATGACCTTATTGTGTTGCAAGTGCCGTCAAACTCTTACTAAAACAAAAACTATCTTTCCTCCTTCTTTTTTATGTTTGTCTCTCTCTTGTAAGACTTTTCCCACTCAAACTCTCTGTCATCTTCTGTTATTCCTTCCTTCCTTCACTTGGCGCTCATATGACCTTATGTAGTTGCGAGCGTCGTAAAACCTCTCATCATCATCCGGTACCTTGCCGACTGGCGAGGGCGATCATGGACCTCCACTTCCCTCTCTGTCTTGCGTTGCAGCGATGGTGTCTGTTGTTCTTGCTGTTCCCAGCCATGTTGTCAACTTGTCCAGTATCTTTTCCCTCTGTCTGCCTCTGCCTCTCTTTCCATCAAACTTGCCTGTTGTTACAATATTCTCCAATGCTTCTTTTCACGTTGTGTGTCCAATGAAATTTCCCTGTCATTTTTGTATATTTGTCATAAGCTGTCGTCTGCAATTTGCTTCAACCAAGACTTCTTCTTTTGAAAAACCTCTACTTAAACTAAAAACTAAAACTTCTTTTACTGTTGTCTTTTCAATCATTCCTTCATCCTCTTGTTGTTTCCAGATCCAAGAAGGAATTAGACAACTCAGACTTCCTCTTCTTCCTGACGGGAGGCATCGGCCTGGAGAACAAAGTAGCCAACCCGGCGCCTGATTGGCTGAGCGACGCCTCGTGGGACGAGCTGTGCAGGCTCAGTGACGTCAAAGGTTTTCAAGGTCTCAGGTTAGTGATAGTGAATGTGATAATAATAAAGATCACTTCTGCTATGCCTTCTCTTTGATAGCTCTAGGTGCGAGGAAACTCGTGGGGTGAGCAGACTGCAGGAAATCTTCCTGGATTTTTTTCCACCTTGTCGCAGATCGAGGATCGAACCCTCAATGTTTGGGGCATCTCCGGATCTTCAGTTAGTGAATGTTCGTGTAATGCCTCGGAGACTCCAGTGGAAATAGTACATGCGGAACTATATAAATCTACTAAAGTTTGCTGGGAATTCCTTATCTACATTCTGTTCACATTCGGGAACACATGACAACAAAATAAAGACAAATGAAATGGACTAATACGGAAAGCATGTAACATTTCAACATCTACATTACCTTACCTGGATGAATTGTACATAACAGCTTGCACTAAAGAAGATTAATTCCATCTTTTCAGACAACAAACATCCCTTGTTCTCTCAAATAAAAACATCAGTCAGAAGTAAAAGACCCATGCTTCTGATCTGTAACAAAGAAAGATACAGAAGGTCATTTTTATCATGATCTATCAAAATGCTTCCATCTTAACCATCTTGTATAAGTATACTTACGACCTTGGAGTATGCATCAAAATAACATTGAGTGTGTATCTAGCTTACGATTATTATTGTTTATATTGCTGCTCATTTATATTATGCATGTGATTGTAAGCCTACGTGTGTGTGCATGTGTGTGTGCGTGTGTGTGTGTGTATGTATGTGTGTGTGTGTGTGTGTGTGTGGGTGTGTGTGTGGGTGTGGTGTGTGTGTGTGTGTGTGTGTGTGTGTGTGTGTGTGTGTGTGTGTGTGTGCACATGGTGAAACACCACATCAGTGTGCCAGGATCTGGTCAATAAAGATGCATCTTATCTTATCTTATCTTATCTTATGCTTCACAATAAAATGAAATTCGGAAAATAAAAAAATAGACAGCTGACACTGTGACGCGTTTCATTCATACTGGCCCATTCAGCGTACAACAATCCTTTCAAATACATATCTAGGGCCTACCCCCGTAATCGGACAAAAGAACACATGCACAAAAAGACAAACACTCTGGCTGCTGAACACACTTCGTTACCTCCTGAATTACACATTCCTATCTGACATTCCTGGCTGTTTTTAGAAACTAAGTCCATGAGGGTGGGTGGTTGGCGGGTGCTCTGATGTGGTTTGCTCCTCTTTCCTATCAAACATCTATCGTCTTTATCTCCCCTCCTTCTTTTTTGTGCTTGTTACTCTCTTGTAACACCTCTAATCTTTGAGTGGCGTCGGTAGCCTGGTGGTTAGGCTACCGGACTCATAATCGTGAGATTGCGGGTTCGGGGGTTCGAGCCTCAGCTCGGTCCGACGTTGTGTCCTTGAGAAAGACACTTTACACGAACTTCCCACTTGGCTCGGTCCTTTCGGAGACGGACGTTAAACTCGGAGGTCCCGCCCCTTAAATAACTTAATTGTGTTGATAGGGGCGTTAAACCTATACAATTTCAAATTTTTCTCTAATCTTTGAACTTATATGACCTTATTGTGTTGCTTACTTACTTTATTCTTCCGTTTATACCGGTGGATGTCGCGAGGCGAGTGGCAAGTGTGTTACAAGTACCGTAAAACTCTTACGAAAACAAATTTCAAATCTATATTTAGAGAGAGCTTCCGGAGCAACGTCCCTCTATGGCAAGACTACTACAATTCTAAGGAGCCTCACAACACCGCCCTCCCCCCTCCCTGGGATCAGAAGCTGTCTCTGTTCTACAAGATGATGGTTCAGAGGTGTATACGACCCGACAAGGTACACACACACACACACACACACACACACACACACACACACACACACACACACACACACGTT